CCCCCTTCTTCCCCGGCTGAACAAGTGCCCCCGTACCATGTACGCGCCTTTAGTGACTGTTTGACGGCTGCTGATATTTTTTTGGTTCTTTTCTCTTTCTTTCCAGAACTCTGGAAGTTTTGGTGAGTTTGAATGAAGGGCAGTCTTTCATGTCCAGCTCATTAACAATCACCGCTTCAGAGTGTGTAAGTAAATGGCCAGCGTCATTCGATGTAAAATCCTGAAATCCCGTTTCCTTTCTGGTTTTGCCACCGCGTGAGCTCTCAGAGCACATGGCAAGTCCCATTAAATGTTGAGAATGCACAAATCCACCTGACTAAAAAATGCACCTGTGCTGGCACATCCAGCGTATCCATCATTTAATGATAGATGATTTCCTCATGTGTAGGTGCGCACAATGTATAGTCCCATGTCGCCTTCTATGTGTTTTGAGACACTTTGAATCTGTTTTATAACGCCACGACACGCAACCAAAAGTTTTCAGCTGTTCTGAATTCCCTGATGAAGTGTGCGTGTGGAGTTTATAGACAAGACTTTTTTCTGCAGCTCTGTAAGGCGATTCCCTTAATTCACTCCAGTAAGGTGGCAAACAGCTTTATTTTAGGAAGATCTTTTTTTGCAGGATTCCACACAAGTGGAGTTTAGTCCACATATTGTCTCAGACTTCCAGATAACACACAAAAACCATCTCTTATGAGCCAGGCTTGGAGATGTACCTTTGCTGTCTGCCATAGGCTCTGTAACAAGGGTTTCTCCTTTCGTTGCTGCTGCATCTGTTCTGCTAGCTGCTTCAGGGGCTGCGATCTACACCATATGCAGAACTGTATGTAGAGGGAAAGCCCTGGAATTCTCCTCCTCTCCCAGACTACTTCAGCCTGCTCTGCCCCGAGATCCCAGCAATGTCTGTGTGTTCCTTGTCTATGTGGGGGCTTATATTTTTCTATAGCCTGTAAATTGTATTTTGCTAAATATGTTACAACAAATTACTTTAGCACAGCGTGCAGCTGTGGCTTTCAAAATATTGGGAAGCTTCCATGCCATCGGAGACTGGCTCATTATAAACATAACCATGTGATAAGAGCCAGGTGTGACACAGTCACCTGGGGTCCCATTCCAGCACAGCATCCCCGAGTAGGATTGGTGGGACCAGGCTGAAGCTGAGGAGGCAGAAGTTCAGGACTTCAGGCTGGGTGTGGAACGGGGTTATAATCCTGCGGGAGGATACTAACGCTACGTAACCTTAGGTTCCTAACTATGGTGTCTGAGTAAGGAGTGTAGGCTCTTACCTCTGTTCATTAGGGGAGACAGTCTTTGTCAAAGCACAGGCTGAGTACCTAAGTTAAGCCTGGGGTTAAGGGAGTGTGCGCATCTTGCTGTGTTTTATCACAGGCTTATAGAAAAGAGTTTGGACAAGCCACATACTTAGTGACTTCTCTGACGTCATACATAAAATCTCTTCATCTCACATTTCTGCTCTCCATTAAGAACTTCTGTAGTCCATAGGCAGGACAGTTAAAATGTTTGCAGTTAGAACAAGACCACTGTGCGGGGATGGAGGTTTTGAACACGTGCTGTGTGGATACCGTGTTTCTTTAAATTTGTCTCATTTAAAGTGTGACTTCAGTGCAGCTTTCCTGTCAGGCATAGAAGCTTACAGAACAGTACCTTCTGCTCATCAGCAAGTATTTTTTCCAACAGTATTTTTGTCGCTCGTAGGAAATGAACCTAAAAGAGAAAAAAACGACATTTTTCTTTTATTCATTTAAAAAGTTAATACTTGGGTAACTGTAGAAATCACAGTCACCTTAGTTCGTCCCTTCAGTTTCAGGAAGAAAGCCTGAATGAATGGAGAGCTGAAGAAACACACGCTACAAGTCACATTTCCCCTTTTAAGGGCCTCTTTATCATTCGGAAGCGTTTCAGTCTTACACCAGAGCATGCCGAAGCAGCCTCTCAGCACGATAACGTAAGGAAAGTACAGTCACAGGAGGATGCTGGAGACTAACAGCAGACTGCTCTTCTGTGTCTTAGTCCTTTCAGAGAAAGCAGCACGTGCTAAGGCTGTCCCCATGCCCCCTTAAAAACCGCTACGGCTGCAGAGATAGGTAAAAATGCAGCGCTGATGCAAAGCAGATCATACCAAATCGCTGGGTACGGCTGTCTTCCCCCTGCTGTGCTCTGACAGTGCTTCTCTGTGGTCAGAAGTTTGCAGTAAGGGAAACAGAATGAGTACAGATGTGCATTGACAGGAAAAACTGGTGTACTTCTGATCATCCCTTTTGTGCTCCTCTTGGTTTTTTTTTTGCCTTTCGTACACGTTGCAGCAAAGACAGCTCCATACAAGGAGAACTGCTGTTTCCATAGTAGCAGATGGGCAACTGCAAGAAATGGGTCACTGCTAGAATTGTTCCACTAATTCTGATAGCTGAGCAGCTGATGGCTAGTTGGTATATGAGTTACAAGTTACAGCCTCCCCTAGCAAACACGCATCGCTGCAGTGGAGAGAAACAAAAGATGTGTGGCACCTAGACACCAAGGCACACATCCTGCCTGCTTCTCGTAAACAGGTACGCCTCACTGCACCTGCGTGTACTTGTACAGCTCTGTTTCTCCTTCCTGTGCAGTGGTGTATCTCCAGTACAACTTTTCTCACTTTGACAGAATTACACTATACTCCAGCCTTAGTGACTCCCTGGTTTTCCCTTTTTCCCCTGCTGAAGTCTGAGTAACTTCTATTTTCATAAGGTCCCTGTTGCATTTTTCTCAGTGTTGTTCCAAACCAGCACAGCAGCACAGAACACCAAGTGTAAAAGCACCCACAGGATATGGGTTTGAGGTGGTAGGAGTTGGGCTGCTCATTTTTTTCATTAAAAGCAGTATTACTGAAAGCAGTAACTTATTTTTCTTAGGAATTTCTTAGTACGGTGGCTTCAGGTTCAAACAGTACTACGACAGGGATTTGGTGTGCTGTAGGCTGCACGGCGTGAATGCTCCAGATGTGTGGGCGATAAGCATAAAAGCCTTATGTATGTATTGTTAGTAGAGATCCCTTAAAATTCCACCCACCCACCAATCCATTCAGACCTGTGTACTCATGGGAGGAGAAAGACACCTCTCATCCACGGACATAGGAGGAGGCTTTCCCTGTTTGTGTCTAACAGCTCATTTCTTAGCAGTCCAAGCACGCTTTCTTTTCTTCAAGTTGGGCGTCATTCTTATCTCAGGGTTATCAGTTTTACATCAAAATGAATCTACTGTTTGAACAGAAATACTCCTGGCCTGCACTGGGGCAAGTTGGGCCTGTTGCCCATGACTGAACGACTGAACTTGACCTTAGGTTTGCAGGTGGGCAGAAAGAGGCAGTTTTCAAAGTTCTGCCCATAGATGTCCATCAGCACCGCTGTGTTCAGCCCCTTAGAACGCCTGAGACGTGCAGGGCAAGAATGTGCAGGAAATATAAATAACATCCTAACACCTCCTCCCCCTTTTTGATGTTGATAACACCATTCAGTGTGATGTGCAGCTCCTGTTGGAGCATCCTAGCTTACCTCTAGGTAACTCGTGGGACTGAGGAGACTTACAACAGAGGGTATCACTGAGATTGTGCCAAATAAGAATTTGGCTAATAGCCCCTTCTTGATCCTTTGTGAAGAATTTCTCCATTGGCAAGAATAGGATCCGACGAGTGGAAACGATTTGTTTGGGATTTGTATCAGTCAGTAGGAAGCTGTTTTGGGGGGAGTGGGAAAACCAGGCAGCAGTTATTTCCAACATCCACTGATGCTGTCTTTCTACTTTCTTCACAGTCCAGTGGAGTAGCAGCGCTTATTGCTGTGCTTGTGCTGTTACTGTTGGCAGCGCTCGGTCTGCTCTGGTGGTTCTGGCCCCTCTGCTGCAAGGTGGTGAGTAAACACTCTTAGAAAACGTCACTGGGTGTGCGGCTTGTGGTTGTTAACTTCTACCATGTTGGGAAACACAGACACCATGGGGAATGGGTTAAGTAACAGGAGAGCTGCATGTGACATAAGCTGTCTGTTGAGGGAGTTTTCTCTCATCAGTGATACAAAATAAATGGAAGAGCCCACGTTCCACACTGCGGCCTGCACTCTGGGCAGTGCTTCTGGCTTTCTGAGACCTGCACACACACAGACCAGCATCAGCAAGCTGGTGTGCCGCTTGCTGGCTCTCCACTGAGCAAGCACGTGTTATATTTCTGTGAAATCTTTGATAAAAGCATTTTCTCTGTTATTTGAAAGTTGTTAGCCATAATGGCATGCAGATGTTACCCTGAAATCAAGGACCATTTTAAAAGTACTCTCACTAAAATCGGTATTTGTAGTCCATTATGGGCTCTCAAGTTGGAAATCCCTTATTGTCTTATTAATCCCACGCGCACGTTGCATCTCTCTTCATCTGAGTGCACTCTTTATCCTTCTAGCAGCAGTCAGCAATGCGGTTTCACTAACTGTCCTTCCACCTCTCTCCATGTCGGGGGTTTTTAATTGGTGAAGTTCATTCTCCACAGTACAGTCCCATCAGAAATCTAGGGAGGTTTTCCCTTAGTCATTTTGCTTCAACTTTATTTTATACTGTGAACCTTCCTGTGGAAAAGGAAAAGTCAAAACCAATAAGAAAGCTTCCTGCTTTCTTATTTTCAAATATTTGGCTAACCTTGATTCATAGACCATCTTCACACTTCCAGTTCCTAACTTTCTGTCTGTAGAAAGCAGCACAGCTAGGCATTGCACATGGATCTGTCATCTGTAGCAGGGGGAGAGGGAGAGGGAGGATATGAAGGAACTAATATCTCAGCAGACAGTGCTGGTAGAAAAGCAAACATTATGTGTTTCAAAGACTAGGTGTTTAAAAAATATGTATGCAAAATACACTTCAAATCCTTAAGTGAAGCAGGCTAACTGTTTTTCAGTGTCTCCTGTCAGCTACTTACAGACATACTTGGGAGTGAGTTGTTTCATAGAATCTGAGAGCTGTGACAAACTAAAAAGGAGCATTAGGGTTCTTGGTAACAGATCAAAAGGAAGTGTGTTTGTCTTGGGGAAAAACCAAAAAAGTTGAGAAGTCAGGAAAAGACAAAGGAAAAGCAGCTGTTTCCAGAAAAGCATCACCTGAGAAAGGCTACAATAATCCCTCTCAACTATGAATGAGTAGTGAAGTGTGGCCAGCAGGTCGAGGGAGGGGATTCTGCCCCTCTACTCTGCTCTTGTGAGACCCCACCTGGAGTGCTGCATCCAGCTGTGGAGCCCCCAATATCAGAAGGATATAGACCAGTTGGAGTGAGTCCAGCGGAGGCCACGAAGATGCTCCGAGGGCTGGAGGCCCTCTGCTATGGGGACAGGCTGAGAGAGTTGGGCTTGTTCAGCCTGGAGAAGAGAAGGCTCCGGGGAGACCTTATAGCCCCTTCCAGTGCCTGAAGGGGCTACAAGGAAGCTGGGGGGGACTTTTTACAAGGGCCTGTAGTGACAGGACAAGGGGTAACGGGTTTAAATTGAAAGGGGGGAGGTTTAGATTGGATATCAGGAAGAAGTTCTTCCCGGAGAGGGTGGGGAGGCCCTGGGACAGGTTGCCCAGAGAAGCTGCGGATGCCCCATCCCTGGAAGTGTCCAAGGCCAGGCTGGATGAGGCTTGGAGCAACCTGGTCTAGTGGAAGGTGTCCCTGCCCATGGCAGGGGGGTTGGAACTGGATGGTCTTTAAGGTCCCTTCCAACCCAAACCAGTCTGTGATTCTAGGATTGTAACGAGCTGCCGAGCAAAGATACTGCCTTGGGTGGCAAACATGCATCATGGCATTAAGGCAGGGTTCTGTCTGGGCTAATACCCTGTGTGGAGCTACATCTCCACAAAGAGCTGCGCTGAGGTGTGAGGAAATGCCCCTCAGTTCTGATTCACCCTGTGCTTCAGTCTGTTCCTCCCTGATGGTTACTCTAAGGGATAGCGACTTACCCGCAGCATCTTTTCTGGATGTAGTGGTTCGTGCAGGACCAGTTGGCGATTTCTAGGCAAGTCTTGAGCTTGCCTAGATTACTATTAATAACATATTACTATGAAGCATCCCGACTTCTTTGGAAGCAATAAAACCACAGCACTTCAAATGTTAGTGCCCTCTGTTGTTTCCTCACGCCTCTCATGGCTTCTATTTGTTTCTTTGAAAAGAAAAGGTAATTTTAGGACTCACTGCTACAATAGTGAGTCCCAAATGCACATACTTCTGTACTGAACCAATACTGACCCTTTCTTTCATTCTGTTGTGATGCCTGCTTCCTCAGACCGTCACACTGTGCCTCCATTCTCTTCCTTCTCTTCTGTACCTGATGTGTCCACATTACATATTATGGCTACTTGTCCCTACGTACTTCTGGGCTTTGGTGTCAGTGTCCTTGACACGAGAGACAGCTTCTTCGGGACAGACAGGACCTCCCCTTCCCTTCCTCCGAGTCTGTTTCTCTGGCAAGTGAGCAAGTGTGAAGTACTGCATCTGGG